TTTTCGAGTTAGAGTTTTCTCTGGATATATGCCCTGGAGTGGGACTGCTGTATCATGTGGTAGTTCTATTTTTAGTTTTTTAAGGACCCTCCATACTGTTCTCCATAGTGGCTATACCAATTTACATTCCCACCAACAGTGTAGGAGGGTTCCCTTTTCTCCACAACCCCTCTAGCATTTATTATTTGTAGACTTTTTGATGATGGCCATTCTGACCTGTGTGAGGTGATACCTCATTGTAGTTTTGATTTGCATTTCTCTAATAATTAGCAATGTTGAGCATTTTTTCATGTACCTATTGACCATTTGTATATCCTCTTTGGAGAAATGTCTATTTAGGTCTTCTGCCCATTTTTTTATTGGGTTGCTTGGGATTTTTTTTTATTATTATTAAGCTATATGAGCTGTTTGTACATTTTGGAAATTAAACCCTTGTTGCATCCTTTGCAAATATTTTCCCACATTTTCTAGGCTGTGGGAGGAGGAAGTCTTTAGCTGGCCTGTCTGCTGATGGGTGGGGCTGTGTTCCCACCCAGTTAGTTGTTTGGCCCCTGAGGCGTCCCAGCACTGGAGCCTGCAGGCTACTGAGTGGGGCCGGGTCTTGGTGCCAAAATGTCAGTCTCTGGGAGAGCTCATGCAGATGAATTCCCCCCTCTCTATCCACCACCAGTCCCCAGGAGTCCCTCCAAGACCAGCAGATAGGTCTGTCCCAGGCTTCTATCAAATGGCTGCTTTTGCCCTGGGTCCCGGTGCACATGAGATTTTGTGTGCACCCTTTAAGAGTGAAACCTCTATTTCCCCCAATTCTGGGGAGCTCCTGCAATCAAGCCCTGCTGGCCTTCAAAACCAAATGCTCTGGGGGGGCTCTTCTTCCCCGTGCTGGACCCCCAGGGTGGGGGCTCAGAACTCTCACTCCTGTGGGAGAACCTCTGTAATATAATTATTCTCCAGTTTGGGGTCATTCACCTTGGGGGGTATGGGATTTGATTACATTGGGAGTTCGCTCTCCTACCAGTCTCTTTGTGGCCCCGTCTTTATGTCTTTAGCTGTAGAGGATCTTTTCTGGTAGGTTTTAGTCTTTTTCAAGGATGGTTTTTCTGCAGATTGTTGTGATTTTGGTGTGCTCTTAAGAAGAGGTGATGTTAGGGTCCTTCTATTTCACCATCTTGGCCGCTCTCCTGTGCTTCTTAATTTTTCAAAAGTGGTAATGCCCCTGATTTTGGAGAAGCTCCTTATATCAAAGACTACAAATCAATTTTCATGATTCTGGAAACTAAAGGTTTTTTTTAATGAAAGGTTATTGATAATTAAGAGTATTAGTTTAGCTCAGAGCTACCCAATAGAAATACAACATAAGCCACATACCACGTTTAAAACTTTCCAGTATTCACATTAAAACAATTAAAAAGAAACACATGAAATTTAATGATATATTTTTTACTTATTATATCCAATATAGCACTGTTTCAGCATGTAATAAATATTTTAAAAAATTGAGTTATTTTATGTTTTTTGGTCCACACTAAGGTCTTTGAAATCCAGTGTGTATATAGACTTACAGAACATCTCAATTTGGACTAACCACGTTTCAAAGGCTCAGTGGCCATTTGTGACTAGTGACTATGCACATCTAGCTCATCTCTTAACATTTGAAAGGAAGTAGGTCTAGCAGAAATAAAGATATCACTTTGTTCTGTTATTTTTATTTGTCATTAGGAATTATGACCGTTTGGTTTAAGTTATATTTATTAATATACATGCCTAAAAGTTCCAAAATGACACAGTTAAAAACAATCTCCCTCTCAGTGCTATTCTCCAGCCTCTCCATTCCTTTTCCTGGAGGCAAAGTGTTATAACCAGTCTGTTGTATATTCTCCCAGAGCTGATTTTATTTTTATTTTTGTAAAGGTACAGGTTGTGGCATTCTTATACATACTGTTCTGCAGCTTTCTTTATTTCATTTAATTACTTGGAAATACTTCATCTGAAAATATATAGGTTGTTTCCAAACTTTGCTAGTGCAAAACACTGTGCATACATGGTTTAACAAATATGTGCATATTTGTTAGATGAGAGTTTAAAACTGAAGGATCAAAGGAAGTTTCTACGAAATTCTGTAGATATTGCTGAATCCTCCTGTATGGTATTTGTATTAGTTTTGGCTCCTGACAACTACGTGACAACATGTCTGTTTCCCCATATGCTTGCCAAGGTAGTGTATTATTAAAGTTTTTGTTCGTTGCCAATTTGAAAAAAAAAACTGTATCTTGTTGCAGTCTTAATTTGCATTTCTTTTTATAAGTTCTGATGGACATTTTAAAAATATTTAAAAGCCACTTGCATTTCATTTTCTGTGAACTGTCCATGTCCTTTGCTCATTTTTTCCTGTTCGATGGTTGGTCTTTTCCCTGTCAATGTGTATGAGTCCTATATATTAAGTATTATGTAACTTTTAACTTTGCTATGGGTTTATTTTTACATGCACAACGTTTATGGAACTTCCTCATCTTTTATGGCTTCCAGATTTTGTGTCACAAAGAACTTGTCCAGTCATTCGATTATTTTTTTAAAGTTTTCTCAGGCTGTTTTTAATTTTTTTAGGGTTTCGTTTTCCATATTCAGAATTTAAATCCATCTAGAATACATTTTGGTACAAGATGTAAGGGACCAATCCAACTGTATCATTTTTTCAGAAAACTATTCCATTGTTCTAATATATTTATTTGAAATGCCATCATTACCTCATACTATATTTCTATGTGTGTTTGAATCTATTTCTGGACATTCTATTCTATTCCATTGGTCTTATAAACACTCTATTATCTATTTATGTGCAAGTACGAGCTGTTTTAAGTACAGTAGAGCTTTTGTTGCTTTTTAATATCTTTGCATTTGGCTACTACCCTGCCCGAGCCCCATTATGATTCTCTTTCAGATTTTTCCTGGTTATCCAATTTGTTTATTTTTCCACATGAACTTTAGAGTCAGCTTTTTAATAACTCAACCCATTCTTTTAGTATTTTTATGAAAATACATTAAATGAATAGATTAATTTGACAACTATACAAGAACATATTATATCTTTCTACTTGTTTTGTTTTTGTGTTTGTGTATCCCACAGTATTGTTTTAACGTTTTATTCAGATAGGTCTTTCACATTTCTTTTTAAGTTTGTTCTTAGTATTTTAAGAATATTTTTTCTATTACAGTTTTTTATTCCACCATAGCTTCTGACTGGTTGTTGCTTTTAGGTACCAAGGCTGTTGATTTTTTTTCCTAGCTACTTTACTGTCGTCTGTAACAGTTTTTCAGTTGATTCTCTTGGTTGGCCAGTATACACTCTTATTCTCTGCAAATGATAACTTTAGTGTTGCTTCCCAGTGTTTGTTTCTTCCTCTGTTTCATTTGTCTTGGTTAGTAAGCAATGGCTATTTTAATAGAGCTTTTTTATAGCCCAAAGGGAAAATAGTCTTGATTTTTTTTTTTTCCTACTTATAGCCTTAAAATAAATTTAATGAGAAAAACTGTGGGAAAATAAAGCATGACTCTATAATGAGTGGAGCAGCATTCACTTTATATAATGGATTATTTTTGCTTTTTTAGTGCCCATTTCTTCCTGCTTTCCCTATCATTTGGACTTTGAAATCTCCATCAATATTGATCTCAAAAATGTTTGAATGAATGACTGAATAAAGAAATGATCAAAAGATGAGCAAATTTATATCAATCTAGTGAAACTGATTGGATGCTCACTCTAAGCACAAAGATAAACAGAGTAGGATATTTTTAAGGAATTCACAGTCCAGTAAGAGAGAGTAAACAAAATACAGTTGAATGTGATATGTTCAGCAGTAGACCATATACAAGATCAAAAAGCAGGATAAAACTGGGAGTGAGTAATTCTTTTGGAAAATCAAGGAAAAAATTCTAGGGGGGGTGATCTGAGACAGTTGTAACCAGATGCAGGAGTCAAAGGGCACAATAAGAGGACTAGGAAGGCAGTCTAGGCAGATAAAACAACAGCATGGAGGTCTGAAACAGCTTGCAATGTTTGGGTATTTATAAGCTGTTGGTATAGTTGGAGTATAATCTGTGGGAGGAAGTAGGAGGACAGAAAAATAGAAACCTGCGTATGAAAAACCATTTATATTAGACAGGAATTCTCAAAAGAAGTAGGCAGCCAGATCTTGTAGAGGAAAATATAGAATCACTTAGAAAAGGCATTTTATAAACTACACTTTCACCCCTACCCCCTCCCCTGGAATGTCAACACTGCAGAGACTGTGCCTTATCTTCCAGGTGTGTTTGGGTAAAGAGTTTGAGAACTACTAATGCAGGCAATATGGAGTCAATAAAGTGTGTTAAGAAGGGTATGACATCAGATTTGCCTTTTAGAACATTCCCTTTGATAACAGTTTGAAGGATCCTTGAAGGACTGGGGAGAGGACAGGCTGGGCTCAGGAGAAATCTTTAAAAAGCTATTACAATAAATAATGAAGCAAGATAATGTAGATCTGGCTACCTAGTGGCAGTGAAGATGATTCAAGGAATACATAGGAAATGAAATTGATAGAACTTAGCAAATGATTGGATATGTAAGGTGCTAGAGAAGAAAGAAAGGAGGTCGTCTTTCTCTATTGTTTTTAGCATTTTGACAAAAAAAATTATTTGGGAAGGAAGTTGATACTATTTACTAATACATTATGAACTTCCCACATTAGCTGTTGATTTTGACCTTTGTTTACTGTGACCGTAAATATTTCAGAGTTGCTGGTAAGACAAGAATAATCATTTCCTGAGTAGCTCTTGGCTGTCACTCCGAGACATGAAAATGAGTATCACAGTTTGCTACGTCTAGGAATTCCAGTATTATTAATGCGATTCTTCTCTAAGGTGTACTGTTAGTGTTAGATATATATTAATGTACTTTAATTTTTGTTTCCATACGCTTTAGAATTCATTCAGAGGGCAGCCTTGTGGATGGCCCCGAAGCAAGCCTGATGGAACAGGATAGAAGGAACCATGTTGAGGGCAACAGACTGAGTCCATTCCTGATACCATCTTCTTCTCCTGTTTGCCAGACAGAACCTCTGGCTATAAAGCTCCAGAATGGAAGCCCATTAACGAAGAGACCTTATCCAGAAGTAAATGGAGACACCAAGTGGCAGTCTTTCAAGAGTTATTATGGAATACCCCACATGAAAGGAAGTCAGAATAGTCGCGTGAGTCCAGACTTTATACAAGAAAGTAGAGGGTATTCCAGATGTTTGCAAAATGGAGGGATAAAACGCACAGTTAGTGAACCTTCTCTCTCTGGGCTCCATCAGAACAAGAAACTGAAACAAGACCAAAAGGCCAATGGAGAAAGAAAGAACTTCGGGGAAAGCCAAGAAAGAAATCCAGGCAAAGGCAGCAGTCAACCAAATGTCTCCGATATGAATGATAAGAGAGAATCTGTTAGCTCTGCAGCCCAAGAAAATGAAGTTAAAGATTTCACTGTTTTTTCATCACATAACTGCAGTGGATCTGAAAATCCAGAGCTTCAGATTCTGAACCAACAGGAGGGGAAAAATGCTAACTACCACGACAAGAACATTGTATTACTTCTTAAAAATAAGGCAGTGCTAATGCCTAATGGTGCTACAGTTTCTGCCTCTTCCATGGAAAACACACATGGTGAACTCCTGGAAAAAACGCTGTCTCAATATTATCCAGATTGTGTTTCCATTGCGGTGCAGAAAACCACATCTCACATACATGCCATTAACAGTCAGGCTACTAATGAGTTGTCCTGTGAGATCACTCACCCATCGCATACCTCAGGGCAGATCAATTTCCCACAGACCTCGAACTCTGAGCTGCCTCCAGAGCCAGCTGCAGTGGTGACTGAGGCCTGTGGTGCTGATAGTGCCAGTAAACCAGCTGCAATGCTAGGGCCCTGTCCCTTTCAGAAACCAGAACAACGAAAGTCAGTTTTTGAGATATGCACGTCTCCGGCAGAAAACAGTAACATCCAAGGAACCACAAAGCTAGTATCTGGTGAAGAATTCTGTTCGGGTTCCAGCAGCAATTTGCAGGCTCCTGGTGGCAGCTCTGAACGGTATTTAAAGCAAAATGAAATGAATGGTGCTTACTTCAAGCAAAGCTCAGTGTTCACTAAGGATTCCTTTTCTGCCACTACCACACCACCACCATCACAATTGCTTCTTTCTCCCCCTCCACCTCTTCCGCAGGTTCCTCAGCTTCCTTCTGAAGGAAAAAGCATTCTGAATGATGGAGTTTTGGAAAAACACCATCACTACCCCAACCAAAGTAACACACCTCTTTTAAGGGAAGTGAAAATAGAGGGTCAACACGAGGCACCACCATCCCAGAGTCCAACTCCCTCTACACAAGTATCCAACCCCTCTCCGATGCTTCCAGAAAGGCCTCAGAATTATTGTGTTAACAAGAATGACATACGGACTCCAGGGACAATGACGGTTCCATTGTGTTCTGAGAAAACAAGACAACTATCAGAACGTCTCAAACATAACCCACCAATTCTTGGTAGCAGTGGAGATGCACAGGACCACTGCCAGCAGTTGATGGGACACAAAGAGCAAGAGATCTTCAAGAGTCAAGACAAGGAACACACACGAGACCCTGTGCTCCCAACACAGCCCTATCTGAAACCAGGATGGATTGAATTGAAGGTCCCTCACTGTCATCAAGCAGAATCCCATCTGAAATGTAATGAGGCAACCCTGCGGTCAATTCTTCAGTATCAGTCCAACCCCTCCCATCAAATGACCTCCAAACAATACACTGGAAATTCCAACGTGCCTGGGGGGCTCCTAGGGCAAGCTTACACCCAGAAAATAATGCAACCGGAGCAGAGACCACCAAGGTACCAAGCTGAGATGAATCAAGGGCAGTCTCAAGGTACAGTGGACCAGCATCTCCAGTTCCAAAAACCCTCACTCCACGTGCGCTTCTCCAAAACAGACCCTTCACCCGAAGCTCACAGACAGTCAGTCTGTGCCCTGAGGTGTCATTTCCAACAAAGACCAGATCCCCAAACTGAGAAACTCATGCCCCCAACATTGAAACGGCACTTGAATCAACAGGCTTCCGAGACTGACCCATTCTCAAACTCACACCTCTCACAACATAAGCCTCATAAGCAGGCAGCACAAACACAACCATCCCAGACTTCACATCTCTCTCAAAACCAGCAACAGCAGCAAAAACTACAGATGAAGAATAAGGAACAAATGCCCAAGACCTTTTCTCATCCCCAAGGCAACAATGATCAGCAAAGAGAAGGATCATTCTTTAGCCAGATTAAAGTAGAAGAATGCTTTCGTGGTGAAGATCAACTTTCAAAATCAAGTGAGTTCCAGACTCATAATCCCCAAGTGAGACTGGAGCAAGTACAGAATATGAATAGTATAAATTCCCACTATGGTCAGATCTTGAAGTCAAATGCAAGCAAAGTGCAGATTTCTTGTTCAAACAATATACACGTAGTTCCAGAAAATAAAGAACAGACTGTAAATTCTGAACTCTTTGCAGGAAACAAGATCCCAAACTCTCATCACATGCAATATTTTCCAAATAATGTGACCCCAAAGCAAGATGTTCTTCACAGGTGCTTTCAAGAACTAGAACAGAAGCCTCAACAAGCTTCAGTTCTACAGGGATATAAAAATAGAAACCAAGATATGTCTAGTCAACAAGCTGCACAGCTAGCTCAGCAAAGGTACCTGATGCAAAACCAAGCAAATGCGTTCCCTTTGCCCAATCAGGCAGGAAGTCACATTCAGACCCTGCCCCAGAAGGACATCCAAAAGCATGCTGCTCTAAGGTGGCACCTTTTGCAGAAGCAAGAACAGCAGCAAACACAACAACTCCAAGCCGAGTCTTGCCATAGTCAGATGCAAAGGCCTATTAAAGTTGAACCAGGATCCAAGCCCCACGCCTGTATGCGCCTCATGTCAGCACAGCCAGAAAACAAAATGTGGAAAAAGATACCCAAGCAAGAGATTCCACCTCCGAGCTGTGATAACATGCAGCAGCGGAGCATCCTTGAGACCATGGAGCAGCATCTGAAGCAATTTCAGGTCAAATCATTATTTGACCATAAGGCTCTTACTCTAAAATCACAGAAGCAAGTAAAAGTTGAAATGTCAGGGCCAGTCACAGTTTTAACTAGACAAACCACTGCTGCAGAACTTGATAGCCACACCCCAGCTTTAGAGCAGCAAGCAATGCCTTCCTCAGAAAAGACACCAACCAAAAGAACAGCTGGTTCTGTTCTCAATAATTTTTTAGAGTCACCTTCCAAATTACTAGATACTCCTATAAAAAATTTATTGGATACACCTGTCAAGACTCAGTATGATTTCCCATCATGCAGATGTGTAGGTAAGTGCCAGAAATGTACTGAGACACATGGTGTTTATCCAGAATTAGCAAATTTATCTTCAGATATGGGATTTTTCTTTCTGTTTAAAAACTTTGAGTCTCATAGGCTCATAAAAACCTGAAGCTTACATTTCTTGTCTTTAAATTACAGATGCTTGTGCTGTGCAAGAGAGAACTTCACTTACATTCAGTTTTTCAAAAAACTTAAAAAATTGTGCATGCTCATTTGTCCCTCCCTTCAAACCGTTTAAAATATAAAGGTATCTGTTTTAGCCTAATCAATCTAGTTAACTCTTTGTATATCATCTCCTGGAGAGATAGCCAGGCAGTAAAAACACCTTGTTAAAATGAGAAAATAACTGCCATATGCAAACTAATGTAGGAGCTTTTAATACTTTTTAATTCAAGATTGAATGTATTAGTAGTTTTACAAGATTAACTTTTATAATAGATAAGGGGACATTATCATCTTCTGTCTTGGTGACTTAGGGGAAATTTTAATGCCAAAGTTCTGAATATTCATAAAGTTGCCCTTTCTCCATGTATACATTTGAAACATTGTGTGATTTATATTTGATATTTTCTCTTTAAAAGTTTCATCTTTTTGATAGAAAATATGGTATTTCCCTTTCTTTTTTTTAAACAAGCATCTTTTTGTTAAAATTCAAGATTCATGATAGGTCTGTTGGAATAGGGAAACTTTTTGCTGATTGATGCAGTTTTATATATATATATATATATATATATATATATATATATATATGAAGATCTTAATTATAGCTACTCAGCTTGGATACAGTAGAAGACATTTGTAAAAACCAGCGTTCAACTAATGTGGCTAATGGTCCACCCACTTTATGTTATTCCTCTTAAAATGGGACACTCCACATTTTATAGAAGGATGGAGGGAAGATCCGTACTGCCCCTTTGTGTGTGGGTAATATTATTGCCTCACTGGCCTAATGTGCCACACATGTCATAGACAACATTGGGTAAGTTATACTCATCTTCACACCCTTCTCCTATCACACAAACCTTTTTTCCCCACTTTTCATCTTTGATAGTTTACAAGAGCCTCTTCCTTTTATCTGACCCTCTCTTCAGTATTTTCTGTCATCATAAGTTGTTCTAAAGTAGTACATACAATATGGGTCTGGATTGAATGTTCTTATTTTCAAAACAGAGCAATCGAATATTATGGGGAAACAAGAGGAGAAAAAGGTATCTTGACAATAAACTGAACAAAATCCTGGGGGTGAGATAGGACAGGAAATTTTATTTTTAATCTTTTAACATCCAAATAACAGGCAGGCTTCTAGTAAGCTGTAATTTTATTTTTCTTCAGTTTAAAAAATTGGACTGTAGTTGATATTACATATAATATATTCTAATTCCCTCACTGTCTATTTAGTTCCACTTACTTGATTTAAAATAATTCCTTATCCCATATCTGAAATGCAATTTAATATATTTTTATCCAACAGGCAGAATGGACATATACTTAATTATTTGGCACATTTTCTAATAGATTAGTCCATCAGTTTACTCATTTTAAAGAAAAAAATGTTTAAAGTCACATTTAGGACCCTTAATGTACAGGTGGGGGATAAGCTTTGTGGATGTAGCCTTTATATTTAGTATAATTGAGGTCTAAAATAATAATCTTCTATTATCTCAACAGAGCAAATTATTGAAAAAGATGAAGGTCCTTTTTATACCCATCTAGGAGCAGGTCCTAATGTGGCAGCTATTAGAGAAATCATGGAAGAAAGGTAATTAACGCAAAGGCACAGGGCAGATTAACGTTTATCCTTTTGTATATGTCAGAATTTTTCCAGCTTTCACATACAAAGCAGTAAACAATTGTAAATTGAGTAATTATTAGTAGGCTTAGCTATTCCAGGGTTGCCAACACTACACACTGTGCTATTCACCAGAGAGTCACAATATTTGACAGGACTAATAGTCTGCAAGCTGGCATAGGCTGCCCACTTTGAGATGGATGCCAGAAAACCCAGGCATGAACAAGAACCAGCCAGCCAGCCTGCCAGGCACAAGGGTGCTGGCACAGGCTGCAAAGAGAGCGCCCACTCTGGTTTTCCCACTTGATGATAAAAAAGGAAAAGGGGGGAAAGGTGGTATAAGAAGGGAACCATTGAGTTAAATTCATCTAGAATTATAAATGAGTAGTTATCTCCAAGGAAGTTGTCCATTAGTATGAGCAGAGGGCAAGAGTGATATACTGAATAGAAATAGAGACAGATTCTATTTATAGCTGCATTTTTTTTTTCACCTGTCAGTCATAGGTATGCAAGTACTTACCTGAATCTACACAGTTACTCCTGCATGTCATCTTGCAGACTTGAAGACTGTTATGAGCAAGATAATCAATGCAGAGAGAGACTTTCATATAGGTATCCACAGCTCTGAGCTGTTATTACACTAGGGTGCCTTTTCTTTAAGAGGTAGGCATTTTTATCATTAAAATATATTAGGAGACATTCTGGGCAGCAAGGGCATATTCCATATCATTGTTGCCCCAAATTCAAATTATTCATTTCTAAATGAGCACATAGAAATTCACTAAATAATCGTCTAGTAGCCTGGCAGAAATAGTGAATTTCCCTAAGTGCCCTCTTGTATTAGCAAGGAGTAAGTAGTGCTTTGGTTATAAGGGAAAATAGAATCTATTTCTAGAATTATCCTATGTTTTCAAAATTGCTGGATACTGGTTATTTGCCAGCCTTTTAAAAAATGAGAGATTCTTAGAGAAACAGTCCTAACTAAAATCTTATGATTCCCCAAGTTTTAAAATAACTAAATTTAGTAAAGGACAAACAAACAGTACGTTATTTTAGAAGACTGAATTTAACAAACTTTAAAAAGTTTTGTGCTTTGTGAAATTATGTATAAAAATAAGCTTTCCCATTATTTTTACCCATCATATAATTTCAAAATAGTTCATTACAATTATCAGTATATTTTGATACTGAAGAAATACAAGGCTTAAAGTCTACTATCCAGTTTGCTTGGCTTAGTTCTGTTTTTTAAAAATAAACTATTCATTTCTCAGGATGTGGCCATAGAGTAAAATTATGCTCAAATGTTCAATATTTTGGTTGCCTCTTAGATTCATTTGCTAATTTTATGTGTGTGTGTTTCTGTGGATTTCTTTAAGGTTTGGACAGAAGGGTAAAGCTATTAGGATTGAAAGAGTCATCTATACTGGTAAAGAAGGCAAAAGTTCTCAGGGATGTCCTATTGCCAAATGGGTAAGTGTGACTTGACAAGGCCTTTGGTCTTCAGTCTTGGGCATTTTGATTCATTCATCTAACCCTGAGAATTGGGTTATCAGATCAGAGAATCATTTATGCCAGTTGAAAGGAATATTGCTTATATTTATCATGTGTCATCTCTTAAGAAAAAGGCAGATTAGTATAAAATCATGTACAAACTGTATTTAATTGAAAAAATTTAATAGTGAGGAGGAGGTCTGTTCAAGTGCCTGCTAGAAGTGTAATTCTTCTCGGCATGTGAGGAAGAGGTCCTTCATCCTTTAAGTACCTGCAGTTTATCTTGTCATTTTTGAAGACCTTGAACTTTAAAGTCTTGCTTGTCTTCCATCTAGCTCTGGCTTTAGTGCAGGGAGCATTGTCCCCACTGTACTGGGTCGAGTCTGCTACACCCCGAGTGCTTTTGCATCTCTCCCAGTTCTGACCCCAGGGTAAGCCCTGACGTTATAGATGGGCAGCAAAAGGCAAGTTGCAGGTGCTGGTAAATGCCGCCCTAATTGTAACCCAGACTTGAGAAAATATACAGACATCAGTCAATGCTCTCATCTGCTGCAAGTGACCCTTGTTTTGTTTTGGTTGGGGTGGTGGGTGTTGGGGTGGAATGGTGACCCGAACAGGTGGTTCGCAGAAGCTGCAGCGAGGAGAAGCTACTGTGCTTGGTGCGAGAGCGAGCTGGCCACACCTGTGAGGCTGCAGTGATTGTGATTCTTATCCTGGTGTGGGAAGGAATCCCACTCTCTCTGGCTGACAAACTGTACTCCGAGCTCACTGAGACACTGAGGAAATACGGCACGCTCACCAATCGTCGGTGTGCCCTGAATGAAGAGTAAGTGCATCCCAGGCCTCTCCTCTCGTTCCACTGCTAGGAAAGCTTAATTGTTGGTTGGAGGGCAGAGAGTTGAAACTGCGTTTTCACATTTACAAAACAGGGATCAAAATGCCTGCTTCACAGCCATTCAGTAGGAACTTGCATTTGCTAATGCTGACATGGATACTTCGAAGCAATTTCATTTACTAATATTTTGTACCTTCGGACAGTGTAGCTATGAGTTAGAAGCAGCTTGCTGGAAATCTGAGTGTCTGTACCCACAAACTCAGCCATACCATAAACCTGAAAATATTTATGTGTCCGCTTACTGCAAGTGACAACTGTTTAGTGTGCCTAGCCACCACATTAGTAAGTATTGACACCACTTCTGTGTAGCAGTATCTGAGACAGTTTGGTGAGAAACTTTAGGATTCCCAGGTCAAGGACTTTATATGTAACAAACATAAAAATACAAGGATTATTTACAGAAGTTCTGTAGAAACAAACTGATTTTGACTTCATTGCAATCTAGTCCATTATTTCCATAATAATAATCAAAATCACTTCCACTTTTACTGCTACTAAATAATCAAGAAATTAGTGGCTATGGATGGGCATTATTTTCGAGGAATATGAAAATTTGGAATAGGAGAGCAAGGTATGCAGTTAAATATATTTAATGCATCCAAGTGCTGGTATGGTTTTGTTTGTGTTTTTTGTTTTTTAACCTTATCTACCTGCAGGAAGTTTACATCTTCACTTGGAGAAAGTTTAATTTTTTATTTTCCTTCTGCTATGCTATTCTTGTATATCATTAAAAGAATACAGGAAAATTCACAGTGCTGCACTGAAATCCTATGTAGCTATTTACTCACAGTCAGTACTAAAATAATTTTAATATTGCACTTTTTTCTTAGTTTTTAAAATGTTTTTGGCTGCGTCAGGTCTTAGTTGAGGCATGCAGGATCTTTCGTTTTGGTGCGGCCTTCCCTCTAGTTGTGGCGTGCAGGTTTTCTCTTCTCTAGTTGTGGTGCTTGGGCTCCAGGCCACGTGGGCTCTGTAGTTCGCAGCACACAGGGCCTCCTGCTGAGGCACGCGAGCTCAGTAGTCATGGTGCGCGGGCTTCTCTAGTTGCAGCGCACGGGCTCAGTCACCCGGCGGCACGTGGGATCTTAGTTCCCTGACCAGGGATCGAACCTGCGTCCCCTACATTGGAAGGCGATTCTTTACCACTGGACCACCGGGGAAGTCCCTGCACTTCCTCCTTTAGTCACCTTTCTTCTGGGTCCACCAAACTACAAAAGAGTTTACTGAGCTTATGGAAATATTGTGCTGCTCACTGCAACAATCCATTGCTAACCAAATTTGTCCTTTTGCTGACTATTACTCTAACTGGTATGGTTTTACTGTAAATTAACATAGGTTCTCCCTCTGGGTCATTGGGGGTGGGTAGGGAGGGTTGCAAATCAACTATAAATAATCTCTTTAGGAAAGTTACTTTTCCTATGTGAAAGTGTGGCTTGACTTTCTATGATAGTTATGATCCCAGAATGTCATGGTGTGTACCTCAAGGCCATCAACCCACTTTTACAAATGATAGGTTGGAAGGTAGAAGTTGCTGATTCATAAGACATGACTCAAACTGGTGATTGACTGCTTTAGGTATAAAGTAATATTCCATTTACCCTAACATCCCTTGTTTCTCCTTTTAAAAAAATGTATTTAGGTGTCTTTAATCAGAAAGAAAATGAAAGTTAAGGCATCTTGAGCTGATGTTGGTGATAGCATTTTTCTCAGGAATTCAGCGACACTGCCTTGTTTTTGTAAAGCAGACTTCCTCTTAGACTTGGTAGCTGGAACTTCTAAACCACCAAAGAACTTCTTGTGAAAATGACATTTGTTTCATTTACATTTCTTGAAGTTTCTTGCAAACTATATTTCACATTCTTTGTAATGGATTTAATTTTTATTAATATTATACATCTTTGTTATTTTTCCCCTGAAGGCTTTTCTTTGATTCCTATAAATGCCATTGTCTGAAATAGAATTTCTTTCTATATGTCAGATTCTATGTTAAGAACTTTCCTAAATTATGTTATTTTGCATTTGAAAACCATGAATGATGATTGGGCCAGGGTCTAAGAAAAATTAATAGGGACAAGAACAAAACTATTAAAATATGTGCTTCACATATTGACATTTTAAAGGCCAATCTGTATACTTTTGCTTAACTTCGTCTATAATTTCAAGATAAAGATGAGTAGTTATTTAGATGACGTTCTAGCTTTGGGCTAACTATACTTAGAGCAAGTTTCCAAAAACAAAAAATATACTTGAGGTAGGTACATGATTCAAATAGACACTTAACCAATGGCAATAGAGACTTCACTCGGATATAGCTTTTGAAGTTTCTTCTACCCTATAAAATAAGTTTTATTTCTGGAGAAAGTTAAAATTATGATTTTTTTTGTGAAGAATGGAGGGTAATCTCAAATTGGGGCTGCTGACTCATTTTAATATTGAAAGCTGTGGGACCCTCATCACTGAGTTCTTATAAATCCCAGTGCCCACATGCACCATAACCACCCACTGTGAGTCCAGAAAAGAACTCCGAGAGCATCTTCCAGTGGGAAAATCAAAACGGATTTTTACATTTCCTTTGAGCCCAGCCAGCTGTTTCTCCTTTAAAGATTTCCCTTTGAGATTTTTATTTTATGACTAAGCCTAACCAATAATTTTTTGGCAAGTAAGAGTTGTGGGAGTGTATCTGTCATTATAAGGAAGTCAAAGCCAGAAATGTCTCTGCCATGCTGGGTGATATTAAACTTTTAAAGAAACTTTATATTATAAAAATTTTCCAATATACGTAAATGGAGGAGTGCAGTATATTTATCAACATTTTGCCAATACTATTCCATATATTCTGTGCCCCCCCCGACTTCCTAACCCCATCCCCACCAGTGTTTTAAAGCAAAACAGAGGTCATATCATCTAAGCTATGTTCACTTCAGTGTGTATCACTAACAGATAAGGACTTTGTTGTTTTACAATGTTGTAAAACAATGTTAGTTTCTACTGTACAGCAAAGTGAATCAGCTATATGTATACATATATCCCCTCTTTTTGGGATTTACTTCCCGTTTAGGTCACCACAGAGCACTGAGTAGAGTTCCCTGTGCTGTACAGTAGGTTCTCATTAGTTATCTGTTTTATACATATTAGTGTATACAAGTCAATCCCAGTCTCCCAATTCATCCCACCCCTTCTTTCCCCCACTTGGTGTCCATATGTTTTTTCCTCTGTGTCAGTGTCTCTATTTCTGCCTTGCAAACAGGTTCATCTGTACCATTTTTCTAGATTCCACATATATGCATTAATACACGATATTTGTTTTTCTCTTTCTGACTTACTTCACTCTGTATGACAGTCCATCTCTAGGTCTATCCATGTTGCTGCAAATGGCACAATTTTGTTCCTTCTTATGGCTAGTATTCCATTGTATATATGTACCACATCTTCTCCATCCATTTCTCTGTCGATGGGCATTTTGGTTGCTTCCATGACCTGGCTCTTGTAAATAGTGCTGCAATGAACATTGGGGTGCATGTGTCTTTTTTTTTTTTTTTTTTTTTTTGCAGTGGGGGAGCCTCTCACTGTTGTGGCCTCTCCCGTTGTGGAGCACAGGCTCTGGACGCGCAGGCTCAGCGGCCATGGCTCACGGGCCCAGCCGCTGCGCGGCATGTGGGATCTTCCCGGACCGGGGCACGAACCTGTGTCCCCTGCATCGGCAGGTGGACTCTCAACCACTGCGCCACCAGGGAAGCCCCATGTGTCTTTTTGAATCATGGTTTTCTCAGGGTATATGGCCAAGGACTTTTTTTTTTTTTAATAAACAAAACCTGGTCACAGTGATGAGTGATTCTTTAATATCATTTAACGTTCAGACCATGTTCAAATTCCCTAATTGGATACTGTTTCCAATGTACACATATATACACATATACATATCAGATATACATATATATAAAGTAAAAAAAATATTGACAAAAAGAAAGTCCATATCTTACATTTGATTGAGGGTTTTGAGTAGGTCCCAGTTCATGCCTATTGTCTAGTATAGTTATTGATAGAACTTCCTTTTACTCTCAAAAGTGTACCAGTTTGGGGCTTCCCTGGTGGCGCAGTGGCTGAGAGCCCGCCTGCCGATGCAGGGGACCCGGGTTCGTGCCCCAGTCTAGGAAGATCCCACGTGCCGCAGAGTGGCTGGGCCCGTGAGCCATGGCCGCTGAGCCTGCGTGTCCGGAGCCTGTGCCCCGCAACGGGAGAGGCCACAACAGTGGCCCGCGTACCGGAAACAAAAAAAAAACAAACAAACAAAAAAAAAAAGTGTACCAGTTTGTAAGATAAAGTATATGATTCACAAAGGTTCTTTTACTTTATTATAGTTTCCCCTCTCTTTTTGATGAATTTATTTGTTAAAGAGACTGTATGATTTGCTTTGTAAAATTTCTCACATTCTGGATTTGGCTGTGCACACTTGCTTAACTTGTTCCTCTGTCACCAATATCTTCCGTACACTGGTAGTTAGAGTTAAATATGTATGTATGCATGAATGTATATATTAGCAAAATGCTTCATAAGTGGTGATGAAATAATCTTAGTTCTTCATACCCATCAAGAGGGACATAATATCTGCTTTGTTCCATTTATAGTGATGTTATGAGTGTTCAGTTGAGGAGTTGTTAGCTTGATCCACCCATCGTAAAGTTTACTAGAAAACTTTTACCTAATGGTTTAGCACATCAATCGATGATTATTACCTGTTTCCATTAGTTTGCAAATTGATAATTTTCTTATTTTTTAAAGTATAAATTTGTTATGTACATTTCATTTATTTTGCTAGTTTTTCTAGTCTTGCATAGCTTAAATGGCTGATATAATTTTTAGTTTAAATTTTGTTTTTTAAAATATTTACTTATTTATTATTTTTGGCTGCATTGGGTCTTCGTTGCTGCGTG